CCAGATCATGAGCTGAAACCAAGAGTCGGATGCTTAACTGACTGAGCCACCCAGGCACCCCTATCCACTTTAGTATTTAAAACAAATGCTCAGTTATCATCTTCTCACCCTCAGGTCACCACAGTTTACTTCATTTCTTGTTTTCTTCAACCTATATTCGGTGACACTACAATCATCTTCTCGTTTAGCCTTTGCTACATATCCTTAGCATAACTTTTTTTCACCAGCCTTAAATCATCTCATTACAGGGAACCATTACAGGCTTCCATAAGATCTTCCAAAGCTTTGCCTATCAGCTTTCATTTTCTTTTTTCTTTTCTTTTCACTTATTTTCTTTTATCTCTCCCTCTTCTTCTCTAGGGGTAGTTATGAAAACAAATGTGCTTAAGACATCTCTAAATTTTTTTACTCACTTGGCTTACTCAATATATCAGTCACTTCTAAAAATGTTACACAAAATGTCAGTATAAGTGGACATACAAAACAGGTTTTATTCATATGAGTATCACAGCTTAACTACAAGAGTGATTTGGATTCAATGCATTTATGTTTAGCTTGAATCTTGTTATTGAATTACCTGAGTTCTCTGCCTTACATTCTGTTACCTGAATGTTCATGCTGGTGGATAGCCAACTTTATTTCTAGAATCTGCTTTCCACGGGAGAGTTGAGAGAAGCTGAGGTATGGTGGGTAATGAACCAGAATTAAAAGTCAAGAGGCCCTGTACTTATGGTACCAACCATGAGATTCAGTCTATTTAGACAGACTAAGTTACACTCGGGACAACAAACACCCAAATCCCAGTGGTTTAAAGCAACAAAGGCTTGGGGCGCCTGGGTGGCGCAGTCGGTTGAGCGTCCGACTTCAGCCAGGTCACGATCTCGCGGTCCGGGAGTTCGAGCCCCGCGTCGGGCTCTGGGCTGATGGCTCGGAGCCTGGAGCCTGTTTCCGATTCTGTGTCTCCCTCTCTCTGCCCCTCCCCCGTTCATGCTCTGTCTCTCTCTGTCCCAAAAATAAATAAATGTTGAAAAAAAAAAATTTTTTTAAAGCAACAAAGGCTTTTTTGTTTTCTTGTCATGTTGCAGGCTCCTCATGGGCCCTGCTCTGCGTCCTCACTCTCCTCGCCCCACAACCCGCTGCCTGGGCAGGCACACCCAGCAATACCAGTTGCCCCGGCAGCACGAAAAGAACATTTTTCAGGGTCAAGCGTTGGTAATGAAATGCTCGAGCCTGGAAATGACAGGTCACTCCTGCTTCCACATTGAGCAGAAGTAGCCTGAGTTTCCAGGGGATGCAATTCTGGTACATGCTCAGGAGGTAGAGAAACGGAAAGACACCGCCCTCATAGGGTTGTCATGACAATCAAAGGCTTTCATGTTTATAAAGCATTTGGAAGAGCTCCTGGCACCTTGCTATATGCTATGTAAGTATTCGCCGCTGTTATCATCACCATCATCATCATTAAACTGAATAAATTCATAATTTTTGGAGGCCATTATCAAGTCAGGGTTCTCCTTATTGAGTTGAATTTGGTGAAATGTTTCGTGGGTGTTGTTTCCTTGCTCTCCTTTAGCTACCAGTGCATGCCCATGTCCCAGTGAGCAGACCCTCACCCGTCTTCAGTACAGACACAGGGCAGCCCCCGGGATACCCCTGCGGCCTCACCTGCCTCAAGATGACTTTTTGCAACCCGGCTGGATCCAGAAAGGCCAACCCAGGGGAGCATGCCAAAGGGAAATGAACCCCAGTAACTTTTAGGTGTTGCACGCTGTGAAGATCCCAGTTCTAAATGTGTTTCATACAAAAATATTTATCCTTCAAGCTGTAGCACGCAAACAGCAATCTGCATTTATTGGTTTCACATGCCAATTTCCTCCAGCTCCGGTTTTCCTTTGTGTTATATAAACAAGTCTCAACCATCTGGACCACAACAAGCCACTCTGAAATATGTGCTCACTCCGTGCAAAAGCATCAAATCAAAATACAATCTCGCGGAATTCTGCCTAACAGAAAATCGGAGTGAACAATTTTCACAAAGCTGTTTTTAAAATGTTCTTTAGGTGTCAGAATAGGATACAGAGGAGAGCAGAAATGAACTTATCAGAATATTTATTACTTGGACAAACAGAAACTAGCATAACAAGATCATATCCTACGGTGGTACCTACGTTAATAGCCCTATTTAGTGGTTTCCAAATTACTTCAAAAAGGAAAAGGGCTCAGAAAAACGGTCTCAGACAGGTGGGAAAGCAGAGAAGAGACTGCTGAAAGACTCATGCACGACAGTCAGGAAAGCAGAAGCTTTAATTCCTAGCCAGCTAAGGAAATTAAAATGTATGCATTATAATAACTGCAAGAAACAATCTAAACTGTAGTCCGTCAAAATCAAGAAACAATGAACTGGAAAGTAGACTGTGCCAAGAAAGAAAGGGCTCTGCCAAAACAAGTTCCATATATTGCCAACAACCCACCGGCATCTCTGAAATGAATACTAAGCTCCATTTCCAATGTCTTATCTCCCTGATAGAACTCCAGGCTACTGAAGGCATCTTCCAAGGCCAAGTATTTTAGAACATCACCATGGCTAGCCTTGTCCACAGGCAAATATAGGAGTGCTAGAAATGCTTCGTGTTTCTTTTCCCTCTACCTAAAAATATCTCTTCACCAACTTTGCACAGTGCCCAAAATGTCCACCCTTTGGGAGAGAGAATGATCATCAGACTTTGTGACTTAGATTCATGAACTTTGCACGTTGTGGAAAGAATTTCCTGAGAGAGCGGCATACAAAATAAATGAGTTTTATTAAGATAGTGGGAAACAATGGAGGTAAAGGGAAGACTATAAAGGTCTGGAAGTTAAAGAGAAGGAGGTGGCAATGAAGATGAGGGGCCCCAAGGTTCCCAAACACATTTTTTCCTAGTGTCCTGTGATCATGGCTCCTTGTCCTCATCGGTATCTGATCATCTTGCTTTGTCATCCTTAACCATGTGTGTGTAGTTAAAACTGAATCTAGATCAGATACTTTGACATCCTATAGACTCTCTTCTTCAAATGGGGGCTATAAAATCGCACCAAGGTAGAAAACTTTCCATCTGATTTAATAAGCCTAATTACGTAGACTTCGGCCAATTACAAAATTCACCTCGTCGGCTATTAAAATATGGTCTAAATAATTTGATAATTTGGTTCCACTGAACTACATCTGGTTGATTTCAATTCAATATTTTATCAAAAGGTCATTTTAAAACCAAATACTTATGATCAAACTGCAATGTACCAACTTTGTACACAAATTAAATGAAAATATTTTGTAATCTGTGATTCATTCTCCGATTAGAACATCAGCATAGATGTGGGAAAATTCCCATGAACTCTCCCCACACTTCTGTCTTTCTACATAACCAATCCTGGTTCAGCAGATCAATCATGCTTAAGCGCACTCCAAAATAAGATAAGCTCCTCCCTAGGTCTGACTGTTCCAATCTACCAAGAAATATTTAATCAGGAAAGAATCAAAATCCTCATTTGGCCTCTAAGGAAAATCCATCCAATTGTTGATTAATTTAGACAAATAGATGATAGAATGAGAAAACACAGAATCTTGTTTCATAGTTAATGTCAGGTAGGTTTCCGGGTCGGGGCAGGGAGGGGGGGGGG